AGACACACACACACACACTCTCTCTCTCTCTCACACACACACACACACACACACACAGACAGACAGAAACAGACACACACATTGTGGCAAAAACAAGTTATTTCCTACAGAGCGGCTCAAATCTGCTGTAAGCTCCGTCTGTGCCAAGAGTGAAGGTCACTGATCTCACGCCTGACCTTTACATGAAGAAAGAGACCGAAAACCAGACATGATTCCATCTCAACACACATCAACACGCGTGTGTTCACTCCCACAGCGTCTGAACGCTTCATGCTAACGGTAAAATAATGCTAAACTAGATTGCACATTTGTGGAAGAAAGTGTGAGTGGTGTTGTGTGCGGTTGCCGGGACCTGCTATACAGTTGCTAGGGTGTTCTGGGTGGTCGCTAGGGCGTTTCTATGACGTTTCTAAAGTGTTCTATGTGGTTGCCAGGTGGTTGTCAGGGTGGTTGCTAGGGGTTTTCTACAAAGTTTCAACAGCACAAAAGTCATATGTATTCAAAAGTGCAGCGTGAACATTCTGCTAAACATCTCCTTTTGTGTTTCTCAGAAGAAAATCCAGTTTTGTAAAAACATGAGGGCAAATAAATGATGACAGAATCTTAATTTCTGTCTAAACTTTTAAGTTGATTTAAAGGAAAGGGAACATTGCTTTAACACTCAGAAAAGTTTATGTGTGTGACATGGGTGCCGTGAGTGTGTGTGTGTGTGTGTGTGTGTGATCGTGTTTTGCCCTTCACTCTTTCTGCCCTGTTGCCGTGTTGCTCTGTGTGTCAGAATCCACCAATAGAATTCCGCCTGAAATCTTTCGGCGCAGCCGATTGGTCAGTCGTGGAAGATGATATTGCTTGATGTGATGCAAAGATTGGGACATTCGTACACTCGCTTTCACTGTCTTCATAATTAGAGGCTTTGCTTTGGTGTCTACGATGATCTCAAATCAGCGAGACATTTACGCTACACACACACACACACACACACACACACTGACACAGCTTAAAGGTGCAGTATGTAATATTGACAGCTAGTGGCTGAAATGGGTACTGCAGTCCAAATTCAAAATATTGAAGAGCATTGTTTTTCTCGCCCCCTCCTCCTCAGATTCGTCGCTCATGCGGGTCACACATAAGGGAACATTGTGTCGTTCGGTCACTGTACAGTGACTCGTTATCATCCGTTTGACTGGTGAATTAATTGATTAACCTCATTTACAGGCACATAGTGTACGACTGCATTGTGTGTTGTCCACTCTGAAGTGTGTACTTTGTGCAGTACACACTACATGTGACTTGTGTGGTGTAGATGAGTCCTGGTGTCCACAAACACACAGCGAGCACAAATCAATGTATGAATCAGTGATGCGAACTGATCAGCTGCACTGTTATCTGTGTGTGTGTGTGTGTGTGTGCTTTCTCTCTATATTGTCGAGTTGATCAGGTAATATGGACTGAGGTATAAGGTTGTGGCTGCTGTAGTGTGCCATGTACCTCTATGTATTCCCGTTCAACCACAAATACACAACCACACACACTGCGTCAGCAACCATGTCTAATAATATCAACGCATCTGATGGCGGTAAACTTATGGTTAAACATCTGAGCTGCTAAACAAACACGTCACATTTGGTCGTGACCCACAAACTAGAGAACTGCAGAATTCACAAACTTGAAATTACGCAATAAACTCGGCTCATTCTGAGAAGGTATTAAACTGCTGCGGCCTCTGAACTTCTAGAGTTATTATGTGTGAGAAATTAATACTTTTATTCATCAAGGACGCATTAAATTGATCAAAAGTGACAGTAAAGACATTTATAATGTTACAAAAGATTTCTATTTCAAATAAATGCTGTTCTTCTGAACTTTATATTAATCTGTGAATCCTGAAAAATAAAATGCATCACAGTTTCCACAAAAATATTAATGTTTTCAGCATTGATAATAATCATGAATGTTTCTTGAGCAGCCAATCAGCATATTAGAATGATTTCTGAAGATCATGTGACACTGAAGACTGGAGTAATGATGCTGAAAATACAGAAATAAATTACAGTTTAACAGATATTCACATAGAAAACAACTGTTTGAAATTCTAATAATATTTCACAATTTTTATGTATTTTTGATCAAATAAATGCAGCCTTGCTGAGCAGAAGAGACTTCTTTTTAAAAAACATTAGTGTACATGTACTCTGACGCAGCTCTTTATAGAGATCAGACTATCACATACAAGAGATAACTATCACATCCAACAGCTCAGAGAGACAGAGGCATCATGGAGAACGAAGAGAGATAACATGCAAATACATCACATCGACTGTGCAAATACTGTTAGTGGAAAAATGACAGTATTTGCATCATAAAAAGCATACGCCTTTCTCACTTTACTCTACAGTGCAGCTCATGCAACAGTATTTAATGAGTCACATTTAAGCCTGAGTTAAAGCCACTGGTTAACCTTGGGTTTTACATGCATAATACTGAATGTATAATATGTATTAATGCCTGGGTTATAAAGTCCTGTTCCTGTGTTGTTAGCGTCAAACAAAACTAAAACTATTAAAAACATTTTTTTGTTAAAATGTTAAGCTAAAACAAAATATAAATATTAGATGAAAAACCTTAAAGGGAAATTATAAATAAGTATTAAAGTATTAAAATTACTGACTGAAATGCACAGACTAAAACTGGAAAAAAAAAATTATTATATATATATATATATATATATATATATATAAAATAAAAAAAAAAAAACTAATAAAAATTATAAAAGAAAAGATCAAAATGACTAAAAAAAA